CTGTTCTCCCTTGCCGTACACGGGTACGCCACCTCATGCTTGTTTTTGTTGTTCGGGCCCACCCCTGTTGCAGTCGGCCAACTTTTTGGACATCAAGGGCTTGTTGGATTCAGCTTGTCAGCAGGTGGCCATGCGCATTCGCGGCAAAAAATCCGAAGAGGTGCTGCGCCTCTTTGGAGTCCAAGACCAACCCACCGACGAAGAACTGAAGCAAATCTTTTTGGAATACCCCTTTCTCATGGAAGGCTGCGAAAGCATTCCCGGTACGTGGTCTCGTCTTATTCAGCCCGCCCACCTTGAGTCGAGTGTTCCCTTCCCACGTGTTTCTCTTGATCTTTTTTGCCCCGCGCCCGTCTGTATCATTTTGTTTCATGCTGCCCGCCTGATGGAAAGACAACACGCGCCCCCTCATCTTCCTTCCAACTGTAATGCGCATGGGTTTCCAAAAACAGAACACAAGCGTATCAAAGAAAAAATCCTGGAGGAGCGACGCGATGAGGATCCCCCATCGGCCGGTGATGCCATCTAGACATGTGTGTTGCTCACCGTTTCCTGTCCCTTGCAAAGGACGCCGGCGCTGGGCGTCGACCGTCGTTTGTTTGACCGTAGTCCTGGGCACATCCCCCACCCTCAATTTCTCCCCTGTATACGTGCGAGCACACAAGAGTCGACTCGGCCCGTGTTTTGAATTCAACCCTTGCGCTCGCTTCCGTGTCGTTCACCCCGTCCCAGGCTTCGGATGATGCGCTGATGCCTCTGATTACATGAATGACATGTGGCGTCATAAAAAAAAATGAATTTCTGTGCGCGCTCAAGGGCGTCCTGAAGAGAGGAAAGGGCTTGGTCCGTGCAAGCTCTCCTCTGCACCTAAAAAAATGAAAAACACAAACGACAACAACCATCACTGCCGCCATCGCCACCAGGTTTATGATTGGGCCGGGGTCGATGAGCTTTGAAAGTATTCGCGTGTATTGATAATCTGCGGCGGTCGCCAGTCGGCACTACACGAGGATGAAGCAAAGGACACGCATAATTGGTCATGAGATACCATCGGCCTCTGCAAAGCGGGGGAAAAATAAAAATAAAAATAAAAAAAAAGTGCTTGGTTTCACCAAACTCACGAAATGGGAGAGGCTGCGTTGGCGGAAGCATTGCTTGCGTCGGCGTTGGCTGGCGCTTGGGTTGCATTGCCTCGCTGTGCCCCCCATCACCCAAAAAAAATGGACATAAAATGAGTGCCGACCAAGAGACCAAGGAGAAACAGGCTCGTCAAGATCAGAGCGGGCAGGACAATGGATGGGTGGAGCTGACCGAGAAGAAGGAAGTGAGTTTCATGCGACCTAGCATCGAGGACATGAGCGTCTTGTTGCCATCAAGGGCAGTGAGCTGGGATTCAACCTCATCCACGTTCGCGCGCAGTCCTTGCACCAAGGCCTATTCAAGTTGAGGAAGACGGAAGCACGGTGAATCGACAGGCCTGGCCTTCTCCGAGGGAAGCAACTGGCCGAGGAACAACCACACATGGAGCAAAGGATCCGAGCACGCACGTCAAGCTGCTCAATGACCATGAAGAGACCCACGAGCTTCTCACAGTTGGCTTGAAGAGCAGGCAGCACCTTGTCTGTGAGCTCTTGGCGCTCTTGGGTTAGCTGCGGGCGAGGGGAGACAAGGCGCAGCATCAGTGGCCTTGGAGTGGAAAGGAAACAAAGAAAACGAGAGGCTATGTCGGGCATTGCAATCAAGCCAGGGCACCTACACTATCGACCACGCCCTGGGTCTCATCAATACGTGCCAGCAACACCTCTGTGGCCGTGTCCACGTTGCTGAGCTGCGCACACGAACCAAGCGTGAGTACGAGTCGGCGTTTGGAGGAACCAGGCGTCGACCATGCCATCAAGGCGTATTCCATTCAATCTCTCTTCCTCTCACAACAGGCCACTTCAAAGCGAGAGCGTACCTCTTTGCGAACAACATCGACGTCCAGGCGGGCATAGCTGGCGTACTGAGTCGCAATCTCCTGAATAAGGGCTTGAATGTCAGTGGCCTCGGGCTCGGGGGCCTCCTTTTCGTCAATGGCCTGACTCGGCGCATCAGGTTGAGCCACAGCTTCTTCCGCCTGCTTTGCTGGCACCTGCTTTTTCGGCTCCGGCTCCGACTCTGCTTTCTCTGCGGCAGGCTTTGACAAGTCACTGGACGATGCTGGTGGCGCGGTGGTGACGGGCGCCTCCGGCTCATGATCGTTGCTCGCCTGTGAATTTTCACCGTCCACTTGACCATCCGGCCCCACAACTGGCTCTGCTTCACTCTTTTCTACCTGCCCCACAGGCTCCTCCACCCCTGTCGTCGGCTTGGCAGCAGTGCTGCTGTCATCACCACGGCCATCACCGCCGCCGCCGCCGCCGTCGCCAGTGTTTTTGCGATTTTTTCGATTCTTGTTCTTGCCCATTGTCGTTGATGGTATAATAAAATAAACTCCTCGGATCTAAACCATGGCTTTATTTCCCAGGATGGTATTTTATCTTCAAGTGCGTTCTTCGCATTTTTTCTTTGCCTCTGTGGCTTTTTGCCCTTTCCCTTTGACTTCTTCTGCTTCTTGCCCTTTTTGGCAGCGGTCTCGGTATCGATATTGGCATCGGCGGGCTGGCTTGACCTGTGTCTTGCTTTGTGTGCGCGTGGTGGCTGATCGCTTGTGCTGGATACGGGACTCTCCTGGTCGGGGCCTTGGGGCGACGCCAGAACGTTTTGATTGATGCTGCCGTTTTTTTGCTTTCAGTGAGGCTTCTGATCTCGCCGACGTGCGCTTGGGCAAACAAGTAAACCTGTCCTCGCAACTGACCACCGAGAACTGTTGGCCAAAGGTGGGTCGTTTGTTGTAACAGGCAGAGAAGAGCAAGACCCCGCTGACCCGACTGCCGTTTTGGAAACGGCGCGCGCACGTCGAGTCCGAATTCTGGGTTGTCAGACGAGTTGTACTTGGAGGGGGCTCATGAGATTGGTGGTGGATAGAGAAGCAAGCAAAGCGGTTTGAAGCGGATGGTGAATAGAGAGAGATACCGTTGCCATGAGTGCTGATGGAAAGCAGCTGTACAGGGCGTGTCGTTCATCAGATCCACAAGAGGCGCTGCGGCTGTTGACCAGTTGGGACCAACAACGCATTCGAGATGCTGTCCAATACAGATTGGTACGTATGCTGTTTGGTATGATATTGTGTGATGTCAGTTACACTTTGAATATGTCACTGAATGGGGTGACGTTATGGTATAACATGGGACATATACTGCATGTTTGCATCATCCCACAGGATGGCTATACACCACTGCACAATGCCTGCGGTAACGGTCATGTCAAGGTGGTGGAGATGCTGTTGAAGCACGGTGCTGATGCTAAAGCCAAGGCCAACGTCAGTACAGTACCTCCCTCTTCCCCTTTACCCCCCTATGATGGTGCACCTGTACCACATGATGATGATGCTGTACCTGTACGTCATGCTGATGCATCATCCCACAGGATGGCTATACACCACTGCACCGGGCCTGTCGTAAGGGTCATGTTAAGGTGGTGGAGATGCTGTTGCAGCAGGTGCTGATACTAAAGCCAAGACCAACGTCAGTACAGTACCTCCCTCTTCCCCCCTTTACCCCCTATGATGGTGCACCTGGACCACATGATGATGATGCTGTACCTGTACGTCACGCTGATGCATCATCCCACAGGGTGACTGGACACCACTGCACCAGGCCTGCCTTCACGGTCATGACAAGGTGGTGGAGATGCTGTTGCAGTACGGTGCTGATACTAAAGCCAAGACCAACGTCAGTACAGTACCTCCCTCTTCCCCCCTTTACCCCCTATGATGGTGCACCTGGACCACATGATGATGATGCTGTACCTGTACGTCACGCTGATGCATCATCCCACAGGGTGACTGGACACCACTGCACCGGGCCTGTCGTAAGGGTCATGTTAAGGTGGTGGAGATGCTGTTGCAGCACGGTGCTGATACTAAAGCCAAGACCAACGTCAGTACAGTACCTCCCTCTTCCCCCCTTTACCCCCTATGATGGTGCACCTGGACCACATGATGATGATGATGGTGATGCTGTACCTGTACGTCATGCTGATGCATCATCCCACAGAATGGCGTTACACCACTGCACGATGCCTGCTATACGGGTCATGACAAGGTGGTGGAGATGCTGTTGCAGCACGGTGCTGATACTGAAGCCAAGATCAGCGTCAGTACAGTACCTCCCTCTTCCCCCCTTTACCCTCCTGGCTGCTGCTCCCCGCTGCTCGTCGCCTTTGTCCCCCGTCCCTCGCTCCTCTACACCCTGCCCACCCGTGCGCGTCCGTTCTCCCTCCCCCTTGCTCCCTTTCTTCTTTTCCCGCTATTCCTTTCCTGCGCTTGTTTCGCGTCTGCGCTTTGTCGGTGCTCCCCGCGCCCCGCCCCGTTCCCTGCTGGTCTCTTGCCTTTGCCGTCCTTGCTCTTCCCCTTTTTCTGATGTTGTGACTTTAGTCCGTCCATCCCTGGCCATCGCGCCTCTGCCTCCCCTCGCACGCTCCAGCGGCTTTCGGTGGCCGTATCTTCTGTTTTGTCCCCGACACGGGTGACGTTGCTGTTTTTTCTTTTTTTCTTTTTTTTTGTTGTTTTTCTCCAAACGCGCCTCCTTTCGGACCCCTGCTACCTGCCCGCACCATTTGTACAATGCCCTCGCATCTGGCGGCTCTGACACACTCTGCAGCATTTTTACCTCGCCTTTTTTATGAGAAAGCAAATGCACACCGCCCAACTCAACCCTCGCGTCGCTGCCCACCTCACACGCTCCAATCACATGTTCTCAGGATGGCAGAACGCCCCTCGATGTCGGACGTCAAGAAGGACACGGCGACAAGCTGGAGCCCGTGTTTGCTGCTCACGAGGCTCGCCTGGCGCAACCACCCGCCCCCTTCGCTACGCTCACGCCTGCACCGCCTTCCGCCTGGCTGCCGCCTCTGCCCACCACCCCCACCCTCGAGGTGAGCCTGCTCCCCTATCTTGTTCTCCCAATGCAATCCCCACGGCCTTATCCACCTGATCACGATCATTGGCACCACACAACCCCCCATTAGACCACGGCCTCTGTTGTGGTGGCGGTGGACACTTGCCTCAGGCCACTCCTGCCGGAGCACACCACCAGCCATCCCCTCCCCCACCTCGATGCCTTTATCAACGGTGCCGCCAAACAAAACCCCAATCTTGCAACGGCGGTTGCGGATATCCAGAGAACCATCAATGAAGCACCACCAGAGTTTCCCGCCATGGACTGGGCTGCCTTTCAGGCGACTACCACCCAGGCTCTCAACGCACTCGACCAGGCGCTGGCAGCGCCCGAAGCGTTGAACAACCGCTTGGGTCAATTGGACCCCAGTACTGACGACCTAGAAACAGTACTCCAAGAGCTGCACGATGTCACAACTGGCTTCGAGCTGCAGCCTGCTCTTCTTGAGCTTCAGACTGCGTTGGCAGCATGCCCCGTTCCACCCACCGCGCCAGTAGTCGCGCCCAAAACGCCACCCACCGACCTGGCAGCGGCCCTGAGCAAAGTCATCATTATGAGCGCCGTGGAACCCAAGCGTCAAGAGCTGCTCACCAGCGCCAACAGCAACCTCAAGCGCCTAGTGCTGGCCTTGATCGATGCCCTGGGCGTCGTGGCAAAAGCGGGAACCACCGACACAATTCATCGCGTAGAGACGCTACGGCAATGCGCGCAATGCGTGGATGCAAGTGCACCACCTCAACCGGAGGCATTGCCCGAGGCCTGGAAGGCGCTGTGCCAAGCTCACGAGAAGCTGAGCCTACTCGAGCAAAATGGTCTCGAGCAAATTGCTCAGTGGCAACCACCTCCAGACTACGAACATCAGGATTGGTACTTGGCGTTTGTGCACCACGAGTCGCAAGCTTTGGCGCAGCAGTTGCAAGACATGATCGACTGGCAGGCCACGACGCTCTCCGTGTTGGCCTCGTGCATGAGTCATGTGGACAGTTTGACTCAAGACGTTGATGATGAATCGGTTGCTGCCCGCGACGAACTAACCAAGGTGGAGACTGAGATTCAAGGATTCCACACGGCTCTACAACATCTGCCTGAAGCTGTTCGGTCTGGTCTCGAGCAGGAACTCAAAAAGCTAGAAGAGCGACGCAACACCTTGCGACAACAATTATCAGATCAGCCACACGTGGACCACGTTGCAGAGCTCGCCCAGCTGCTGCACCAACACTTCCCAGGACTGCTGGTCTTTCTGCACCCTGAACAGAGCACGCTGGGAGCGCGCCTCCGCACTGTGCTTGGACCCGACCTTCCAGCCAGTCTGATCTTGGAGGCCATGACCGAAGTAGACCGAACGTTGTCGCTCTCCAGCCTGGGTCAGCTGTCGCTCCAATACAGCCAGAATCACAAGGTGTATAAAGCCCGCGCAACGCTGCCGAATCTTCCTGAGCAAGATTTGGCTGTCAAAGAGTATGCACTCGCTGAGCAGCATAAGCAGGATCAGTGTCGTACGTTTCTCCGCGAACTCCGCGCGATGCGCCAGCTTGAGCACCCACACATCATTCCGGTCCTCGGCGCGCTCGTGGACGTACACAGTGGCCACCCGAGCGCATACCTGGTACAGCCATGGTGTGCACAGGGTGATTTGCAGCAGTGGCTCAGCAAGGCGCGCCACCTGGCCACCTCGACCGTGATTTCGAGTCTGATGACTCAGCTGCGCACGGCCCTGGCGTTTATGCATAGCAAGGGCCTGGTGCATCGGGATGTCAAGCTGAGCAACGTCATGCTGGACGGTGCAGAGGACCAGCCCGTCGTGCGGCTGGGCGACTTTGACATTGCCAAGGCCGCGGCCGAAGCCACCATGCTACCATGCACAGCCACCGCGTCGTCAGGCACGACTGGCTATGTGGCACCGGAGCTGCTATTTGGCATGGGTCGTGTGGGTGCACGACCGGCACAGGATGCCTTTTCCTTTGGCTGCGTGCTGTACAACACATACATGTTCCCACAAACGGTGCCACCTGCTCACCCACGGGACGATGAGGTTGTGGACCAATGCAGCTGGAGCATACAAGCAGGAGAGTCTGACTGCGACTTTCCGCATTTGGCTGCTGAGGTGAGCAATACCGCGATGCCTCTTGACCTGCAACTGGGCACCGTGCCTCTTATGTGATTGAAATTCACTTGTGCTGTCCTTTGCTGAAGATGTGCGATTCATCGAGTGATTTGTACAAGGAAACGCGGGCTTTGCTTGCAACAGATCCAAAGCAACGGCCAAGCCTTTTCAGCGCCAAGCAGATTTCGCAGCAGTTTGCCATCGCTCAAGTTGGGCCAGCCATTGATGTCTTGCGCGATGCGCCCGAGCTCATGTCAGAGGTGCGTTGCTTGTTAACTGTTTTGTTCTTCCGCGGATCGTCTGATTTGAATCTACTGGGTGGGTAGGTGGGTGAGCTACTGAAGCAGCTGAACACCGGTGGACAGGGACCAGTGAATATTGCAGTGCAACGAGTGGAGCGCGTGCACAACCCCGTGCTGTGGGAGCGCTACAGCGCCAAGCGACGAGAGATGTTGCATCGTATCAAAAATCAAGTGCACTATGATCAGCTCCAAACGGCCACATCAGATGCACCCTCGGGCTCTCTAGCTCTGCTTCGCGATGCATCCTGTCAAGAGCGCCTGTTGCTCCACGGCATCGCCCCTGACACAATGTTGCGCGACAAGATTGTGCGCCTGGGCCTTGACCAGCGTTTTGCTGGCAACAGTGCCGGCCACCGCTTTGGTCTCGGTGTTTACTTGGCGGACAATCCCGGCAAGGTATGGCAGCGCTGGCTGTCAATCTCATCTGTCTACCCAAGTGCTGTGGTGCTGACGCAATGTGCTTACATGATTTCAGAGTCATCAGTATGCCAGTGCCGGACCCAACGGCGAACGAATGCTTGTCATCACGCGAGCCCTGCTGGGTCATGCCTTTGTCCACCCATCACCTCCTTCTGGGGCGCTGGCGCCACCGCTCCTGCCCGATGCGCCCAACAACGAGCGGTGCGTTGGGCAAAATCGACCATCTGTTGCATGTTGTCTCTGTCCGCCTCCTGATCTGACTGTTATGTTGCGCCGGCCATTTTACTTTTGCAGGTATGACTCGGTTGTCGCGACACCCTCTGGGCAGTTCCATGAGGTGATTGTGTTTGAGAATGCCCAAATCTATCCCGAGCTGGTTGTATACTACACGGCCAATTAGGATGAACTGGACTAGGTGCTAGTTTGTTGTGAGCGGCAAATTTGTTGTTCAGTTGCTTTTGCACACAATCAGCGTAATCTACCATGGGTTTTCCCACAGGAACCCCTATGAGCCGGTGTGACTTCATTTCCTGACTAAAATACGCACCTCCACGGACTGGGTTGCCCCCCCTCCCCCCGTATTTTAGGGGTCATGCGTCGACCCCGCGAGCTTTGTGTACGTGTAATGTCTTGGCAGACGCCTTGTCTGATAAGCCCGTGTTCATTGTTGTTCGTTGTTATCTGTTTGCTGTGACATGCACTTTCCTTGAGCGTCTCTACAGCCATTTCGATGGTGCACCTGTTCTGGTCTGGTCACTGTGAATGCTTTGCCGACCGAAGCTGGTTCAATTGACCTCACGACACCACCAGTTTCTTGTTTCGTCCCGACGGACGTCGTTCAAACCGCTTTCAGAATGCCTCGTCAACACGACCCGCTTCCTTGCAAACCCAACACTGGCCTTTGACATGCTGTGGAGCCTGACAGCTGGCTGTCTCTGAATGAACGGCATACCTTTCCATACATGGATCAGGAAAACAGCATGCTGTTTTTTCATGTATTTACTGCTGAGCAAGCCTCTGGAGCACAGGCTGAGCCGTTGGCTGGAGAAGCGGGGCAGGCTGGACACGCCCGACGACTATGTTGTGCATTTCGTTGACAAACGACCACGTACCTGTATCGGCCAACGGTTGAGGTACGCCGCGACCTTTTTGGATGTCGCACTTCGTGATTAATCGACTCTCGGCCGAGACGACCAGCGCCCTTTGCAGCCTGATCCACACTCAAGCTCGGCACTTTGGAGACACGGCCGAGCAAATGACCATGTGCAAACCAAGATGCATCGCGTGGTCTCGCATCAATGGCATGCTTTGTTTGGACGAGATGGCAAAGTGCAGCATGGCCGAGTTGACAGCAACCCAAGCAGCATTGGAAGTTTGCTATATTCCATCAGTTGGAACCCGGTGACTGACCTATCGCCCGAGGCAAATCTTGTTGCCACGGTATTGTTGTTGTTGTTGACATGTGGTGTTTGTGTGCAGATGTGCGAGGCGACGAGCGATTTGTACAAGGAAACACGAGCCTTGCTTGCAACAGATCCGAAGCAGCGGCCAACTCTCTTCAGCACCGGGCAGAGTGTGCAGCGACCTGTTACGACCCAAGTTGTTGGGCCAGCCATTGACGTTTTACGCGACGCACCCGAGCTCATCCCCGAGGTGCGTTGCTTGCCGTTATCGTCATAATAGTATGATTATTTTTATCTTGACAAGCCGACTGATGGAAGTTCATTGTGTATATAGGTGGCTGAGCTGCTACAGCAGTTGAGCACGGACGGGCGAGGGCCAAGCAACGTTGTTGTGAAGCGGGTGGAGCGCGTGCACAACCCCGTGCTGTGGGAACGCTACAGTGCTAAGCGACGCGAGATGCTGGATCGCATCACAAGGAAGGAGCACCTTTGTCCTCTTGTAACCTTCACAACGGACGCGCTCTCGGGCTGTCCAGCTTTGCTTCGGGATACACCCTGTCAAGAGCGCCTGCTGCTCCACGGCATCGCCCCCGACACCGAGCGATCGCTGCGCGACAAGATTGTGCGCCTGGGCCTCGACTATCGCTTCGCCGGTAGCAGCAGCGGCCATCTGTATGGTCTTGGTGTTTACTTGGCTGACCATCCCGGCAAGGTGCGGCGGCGCTGTCTTGCAGGTTTAATTTGATCGTATTTGCTATCGCTGCTCACAGGCGCGGTGTCGGCATGGCTGTAGAGTCATCAATATGCAAAGCCTGGACCCAACGGTGAACGCATGGTCATCATCGCGCGAGCCCTGTTGGGCCGTGCCTTTGTCCATGAATCGCCTCGTTCTGGAGCGCTGGCCCCTCCGCCTCTACCCAACCGGCGTAGCAACCATGAGCGGTGCGTTGGGCAGACTTTCCTTTTTTTTTTATTATTATTTTTTTTTCCCTTTATGCATGTGAGGCTTAGCCGAGTTGCCTTCTGGCCGCCTTCTGACCCAACCTGACTGTTACGTCTGCCTTTTCTACAGATATGACTCGGTTGTCGCGATGCCGCCTGGGCGCGGTTTTCACGAGGTGATCATCTTTGAGAATGACCAAATCTATCCCGAGTTGGTGGTGTGCTACACGAGCGATAGGATGGGGCGTGTTGTTTGATGCTTGCTGTTTTGCAGTTTGCGCTTTTCGCTTGATGCTTGTTCATGCCGCAAGAGCTTCACGCTGAATTGAGTTGCGCCTGATCTTGGTGCGACCACACCCACAGCACATCTTGTCACGCTTCTTACCTACAAAGCGCGTGGCTTGGAACGCTGGCCAATAAACCTTGGCGCAACCACAGTGTAGGAGCGGCACACCCATGTGCCATGATCCATATTCCCAGCTTTGTAAGGTGCCGTGCCACGTGCCTAGGAACCCCCATTCCCATCGAAATGTCTGCACATGTTCCAACAGCGAGTATAGATGATGAACGTCGACTTCACTTCACCCATGACGATTCTTCAGCGTAATTGGCGATCCCTCTACCTGTCTGATGGCGAGGTTCTCGCCGACCATAACCGCTGGATTGCCAGCCAGCATGCAGAGAGCAGAGATTCAGAACGCGGGGGCGGGAATTGGCCGGAACCCTTGTCTCCGACTATGAAAACGCCCAACTCACGTCGCACAACTCGCGCCGCTACAACAGCAACAACAACGAGCAAGTCGCCATCTCTCTTCTTCCTCAAGCCCCGGGTCGGCAGGGCTGGAGTTTTGATTCGGCTGTGAATTGGAAGACGGAGCCGAGTGTTGCAGGCATGTCGGGGATATACGACGACACCACCGTTGATCAAGCCCATAGTTCAAAGTCAATAGCGATCATAATAATCAATCGTGTGCGCGCGCGGGGCATGGAGGAGCCGAGTGTCGCAGACGCTAGCATGCCTGGGATATAATATAATATATTACATGTATCCCTCCTACTCACTCGTCTCAAACAAAATCTTCACAAGGTTATGCCCAAGCAAGTCAAAGCAAATCGTGACAAGTCGTGGCATGATATCAAAAAGTCATAATCACAACTGTTCCTTTCGAAATCGTAAGCAACACTCAATTTTTTTCCGTTGAAAGTTGAGATGTCAAGGCGACGTGTACGGCGGCAGTTCAAGACGCCAGTTCAGCATGCTCCACCTGATCACCTGCTGAGCTTGCCAGAATCGTTGGGTGATGATGTCCCTGGCAGTGGTGCACCATGGGGCTTTGCTGATAACACCCCTGCCAGTGATTCGGAGCCAGTATCGCCCCCCCCAAGCTGCCTCGGAAGCTGCTCGCACCCGGAGCCCAAACGACCGTGGAAAAAACCGAGTGGGAAGGCGCGTTGGCCGCTATTCGGACAGCGACTGCCGGGCTTTCTTGGTAGCACTGGATGAGGTCGATGAGCATCAAAAATCGTGTTCTGATAGCAAGATTGCCGCTGTGCTCAAGCGGAAAATTGGAAAACAGATATCAGTCTCAACGATCTCAAGATGGCGCCGCGAATATATCCATGAAGCGCCTGAATATGCGCGCTGCAGGCGAGCTGTCTTCAGAAGAACCACATCTCAAACCTCAAAAACCACGATCTGGCCGCCCTTCTGTTTTGGATGCTCAGGATGAAGAGATTTTGGCTGAGTATGTCATGCGATACGGCAAGCGAGGTTCGACAGCGGACGCTCGTGAGTATCTTTACGCAAAGCGCTACAAGCCCCTCGAGCTCAGCCATTCGATCGAGCCTTGGCATGTTTCCCTTGCCACCATTTGCAATCATCTGAAGAAGCAAAACCGGGATTCTGGAATTGACAGCGAGTACGTTAGTCTACGTCCTCGTCGATATGATTCTTTCGGCCCACAGACCCAAGAGGCTTGCCTCAACTACATTACATTCCTGCAAGCCCTGGACAAGGAGCACCTCCTCTTTTCGTCGAACAAGCATGCTCTTCTCTCTGCGGACGAGAGCTGGATGACTACCCAAGCAACGCGACACAAAGGCTGGGTCGTTCAAGGACAAGCAAGGAGTCTGGCACCAGCGCCTCGTTCGTCGATCTCTTTCTTTGCAGCATTGGCCTACTCCGGAGAGATTGTTTTCTTGCGTACCGACATTGGCAACAGTACAGGCGAGAGTTCACAGCGCTATTTGGAGGGCACAATTTCTGCCTGGCGAAAAAAGTATGGCTCAGGTCTTCTGGTCGTGACCTGGGACAATGTGCCACATCATTATAAAGCTCTCAGTCTCATGTCCGGCTCTCATGGTGTTGAACACACGAAAAAGGTGTTTGTGCGCGCCTCAAGCACAATTCCAGAAACTGATGAGCGCTACTCACCGCTCATTTACTATGAGTTGGATCGTGAGCTGTACGGCGGTCCGGTTCTTGTTGTCCCAATACCAAAATACCAGCCCGACTTTGCTCCCATCGAGACCGTTTTTGGTTCCGTCAAATATGCAGCAGAAGGCATTCGCGCGCGTTCATCAAGCTTTGGCTACACGCGCCTCTCAGAGAGGCTCGAGAAGATTCTCAACGTTGTTTTTGGATCCTACCTGACAAAAGATATGTTGAAAGGAGCAATCCGTGATACACACAGGTACATGAAAGCCTGGCAGGATGGCGCCACAAATGAAGATGAGGCTCGAGCTCGCCGCGACCAGCTACGCATTCGCGACAAACAAGACTATGACCAGATCAGGGCCGCAACTGGCGGAATCTTGAGACACAGGAGTGAATCCTTCGAGCTCGCGCCAATCTTGGACATGGCTGTCGACAACTCCCGAACTCGCCGCCAGACTGCTCGAGCCGTTGCCGCCAGCCAAGAAGACGATGCTAACGTGAATGACTTTAAATCTACATGTGAAAATAAGCGGTTGCTACTACAACGTGACAAAGCTCAGGCTCGAGCTCGCCGAGCAGCATCAGCTGCTTTGCGCAGCTCAAATTGAACTTCAAAATTTCAATGATCCTCGCGATTTCAACGGAAAAAAATTGAGTGTTGCTTACGATTTCGAAAGGAACAGTTGTGATTGTTTTGCAGTTGCTCATGACTTTTTGATATCATGCCACGACTTTGTTACCATTTGCACGATTTTAACCTTGTGTAGGAGGGATATACCCATAGGGCTCGTTGAACAAGTCCCATAGGAAAAAACAAGAGAGAGTTCACAACAACAGTTTCACACTTGTCATTCTTTTTTCTTTTCTTTTCACACACACACACACACACACACACACACACACACACACACACACACACACTCACACACACACACACACACACTTTTTTTTCCTTTTTTTAGGTTCTCATAACAACAACGACGATGCACCAACGGCTGGTGCTGGCATGGGGGTTTGCGGTGATGATCGTGCTGACGCTGGTCGTGCATCAGCTGGGTTCGACTCAATCGACGCTCCCGCCGCGGAAGCAAACTAGTTTGTGTCAGGCATGGGGGACTGGGAGTGGATCTGGGCAGGGTTGTAATCGTAGCCAACAACCGCCCGATGCGCGCCACGTGAAGGACGACACCTTTACTCTTTCCCCGAGCGGGAGCAACCACCGCCCCCCGTCTCCACCGGCCACGCTGGCGCCCAGTCTTACGCCCCGACAAACCACAACCACTGCTCCACCAACTCGCCCCACCACTACCACTCGCCCCACCACCACTCGCCCCACCACCACCACTCGCCCCACCACCACCACTCGCCCCACTACCACCACTCGCTCCACCACCACCACTCGCTCCACCACCACCACTCGCTCCACCACCACTACCACCACCACTCGCTCCACCACCACTCGCTCCACCACCACTCGCTCCACCACCACTCGCTCCACCACTCGCTCCACCACTACCACCACTCGCTCCAGCACCCCCGCAGTCACCGCTCGCCCCAGCACTTCCGCAGTTACCATGATGTCCCGCGGCGATCCGAGCGTGCCCCGCGCCTGGCAAGATCAGATTTCTCTACAAACAGACTATGTCGACTTTGCCTACGAAGAGGTTGACGTCAACTCTAGCTTTTACTTTAAACACGTGTGTCACATCTTCAATCCAACCGTCATTGCTACCCCGACCGGCCCCAACAACGGCCTCGAGCTCCGCCTCTTTACCCGCTTCACGGGCGGCAACGAATCAGGCCACTTTGTTGACTGCCCCGACCACGACCTCCAGTCCCGCCACCCCTGCCCCGCTCAAGATTTTCGCGGCTTTTCGTTCCTCCTCACCTGCCGCCTCGATGCCGAGCTTCGTTGCATGTACGTCCCACCCGGTTCCTTCCCGTATCAACAAGGCGTTTTATTTTTTGTTTTTTGTTGAAGAAAAATACGCAAGCCCCTTTCTTATTCCCATCCGCGCTCCCCGGCTCCGACCCTTGCTCTCTAATTTTTGCTCCTGTGATTTTCCATCCACAAAGTGAGACGCTGAATCCGCTGCCACAGCAATTCAATTTTGAAGCTGGACGGGATGGCTGGCGCTATCTCGGTCCCGAAGATGCTCGCACTTTTGTCATTCAAGACCGTGCCTACATTCTCTTCAACTCGCCCATTCACACTGGCGGCGATGGGCGGTACGTTCGCACTGCAGACACTGCATGTTTGTGATTGTTGACTGGTGCCGGTGTTTTTCCCTCTTTCTTCGAACGGGAACTCACCTTGTTACACCTGTGATGGCCTGTTCCGTCCCAACGCAGCACGCCCATCAAGGACTCGAGTGACTACTAGTACGTCCATCCAACCCACCAGCGTGATTCGGAGGGGGGTGCAGGAGCAAAGGCCACCTTTCTTCTTTTTCGCCTTGTTCTGTGTCGGTTGTTTTTTGTTTTTTTTTTTTTTGTTTTTTTTCGCCTTTGCTTTCAGCCCTCACCACCCTGCGTTGTCGACGGGTGGCCTGCTTTCACAGCCAGCGCCTTATGAGAGTCCAACAGGTTTACCCTACTCTTGGTGAACCGCTGACTTTGATGTATCGCGGGAGCGGTCGGATTGAAAAAAATTGGTCCTTTCTACGCCATGACCCAGAGACCAACGAGATGTTCTTTAGCCGTTTCTTTGTGCCTCACGAGGTGCGCCGAGCCGTCTGCGACCGCACCGGGCACGGCAGAATGGACTGACCCACCCATGCCTCAACCCCTGTGGAATAGGTCGTGGCCTGTCACATGGAGACGGGGGTCTGTCGAAAGGTTGAAAGCTTTGCCAGCGCGCCCTTGTTGAGGGGTTTGATGCAAACGCTCCGCCTCCAGGTTTGATCCCATGCACAAAAAGAAAGAGAAAAACAAAAGGGTGGGGGCCCTTGGGCCTCGGATGCTTCTACTCCCCGTGCCGTCTTTCAAGCGTGTGCAGGTGGCTCATGCATCAACTTTTTTTTTTTTTTTCTGCCGTGCTTCACACTCTTTCCTCTCCTCCTCGGTGTTTTTGCGCAACCTTGCGCTAGAGTTTTCATTTGGCCTCGAACATGCTGCAGTTGTCAGAGCACGAGAACTTTGGCGTGTTGCACGGTCGTGCGACGACAGACTACTCCTATGTGCCTTTGGCGTACATTGTCGAGCCGGTCCCGCCCTACCGTGTCCTCGGCCTGGGCAAGGAGCAACTGCGGCTTCCCATCCCCAATCGGCCCGATCCCAGGGGAAGGGATCAGACGCGCCGTGTCTACGTGCATTCGCTCTTTTTGCTCAACACAACACATGTCCTCGTGGGCTACAACGTCCTTGACCGCAGCACCACCTTTGTCGTTCTCTCCCTATCTTCAATCCTGTCCACCATTCAGCGATTCTTTTGAGACGCCCGCCGGCCTTTTGATTTTTTTTTTTTTAATAATCATCTTTTTTTTGCACATATACATGATATGATCACCAGTGCGCGAGCGTACTTGTTTGCGTGCGTGGGCGCGTGCGTGGGCGCGTGCGCCGGTTGCCAGAGGGGTCTTTTTATGCTTGATTTTATTTTTTCCCCGTGGC